GAAGCTGGGAAGCCTCTGGGCATCACTGGCTCCCACCGAATCTCTCAGACCTCCAAGTCACTGAAGAGAGGATTCATGTGCAACTGTGATGCTGAAGCTCTCTGGCTCCATCGTTAAAAAAACCCAGCGGCGCTGGGGCATTCAGCGTTTAATTAACTTGCCAAGTGGTAACGTTGACCAGAATTATGCAGGAAGACTTCTATTTTAGTTAATTACAGTTTTGTTGTAGCCCATTAGTAAATTAAAACAATTGCAGGGTAAGACCCAGCAGAGGTTGGCGAGCGCGGCTGGGGCCACCTGCCAGCCGATTCCAGAGCTCCAGGGGGACTGGGCACACCCCCATCCTTGCAGCCCCTCAATGCACACCAATCCCACGTATTGCCCACCCTCCCTCACCCCCTGGGAGGGAGCCTGGGCAGCATCTGGCACGGCAATTGCTGCCCCTTGAGCAGCCTGCAGGAATTGCAGGCTTATTCAGCATCCCCCAATACCACTTTCACGGTGCACAGTTTAAAAACTGGGATGGTCGTTACCGCTTGAATGTGATGCCTTGAAGGAAGCCACATGCCCTCAGGCCCTCATGTCTTGGACCTGGGGCTCTGTCCTGTCTCTTGTGACCACACCACCACCGCTTCTCTCTCCAGAAACCCACTTTTTCCATAACTCCTCTGCAAATCCCAGTGGTTTTGAGGTGAGGAAGGCAAGGAGCCTGAGGCCTGTAAGCTGATAACCAGCTGGGCTGGGCAGCCCCTGGCACCCTTACCCCCCTGCTTCCAGCTGGCTGTTTTCCAGTGCCATGCCAGCACCTCTTCACTTCAGATGGCATCTCAGGTGTTCTTTGGTTTCATCCCTCTAATTATTGATGCTCTCCTCTGCCCAAAGCCCACTCTGCATCCTGGCAGTGTTGCCCATCTTCCCTGTGTGCCACAGCCTTCCTCAGCTCCCCATCGCCTGCACTCTGTGTAGTTAACCCCCCATGCCCACCCCCATGGTGGTCCTTAGGCAGCAAACCTCAGTGCCAGGCAAGCCCCAATCCCAATCCTGATCAGGGCCAAGGTTTCCAGCATCTTTAAATGTGGAGACTCAGACAGGCACCACTCTGCTTTTGCCATAAGCTCCTTAACCGCTTTCCACCTCTTCGAGGGGCACCCTGACTTCCTGGATATCCAAGGGTTTGGACATGCAAAGCACTAAATACAGCCTAATTATTATTATCTTCGTGGGATCTGGTTAATCTCGATGGGGATTTACAAGCTGTTAGCAAACCAGACGGTCCTCCAATGTTTGCATGTTTCTCAGGGGCAGCTTAATCCCCTTGGCCGTGTTCACTGGGAAATGCCCGAGGCCAAGTTATAAGGAGGAGGGAGCTGCTTCAGAGCCTGTCCTCCTGAGAGGGAGCAGAGGTGCTGTGGGATAACCAAATACCGAGCTGATAACGCTGCAGGACCACAGGAGAGGGGTGGATCATTTGTCACCAGCAGAGCGTGGGGGGCTGGCATGGGGCTGGGAGGTGCCTCAGCTTCAGCATCCTTACGGAGCCTCTAGGTTTTACCGCCCAGATGCAGGACAGGTGTCAGTGCTGGGGTTGATGGGGCTGCAGAGGTCTCTTAAGGATGGAATGAAGAGCTCTAAATGGTTTGCCAGAGGCATTCCCTCAGGCACGGACAGCTTTGTTTGCCTGCACCTTCCCGCAGCTGCCACAGGCAGGATTTCTCGCTCCCTGGCGTGCGTGTGGAGCCGGGCAGCTCACAGCTGCTGCTGCTGGAGCGTTCACTGCAGCCAGCGCGGGACGCGATGGCAAACGCCGCGCTGGCTGCTGCAGCACGGTCTGTGCTCACACACGGCTCCACGCGGCGCTGGCTGTGACAGGGACAGGGCTCTCCCACAGCTTGGCAAAATTCACTGGTTTTCTGCCATCCAAGGCTGTAACCGTGCAGCGATTTTCCACAGGGGTTCAGACTGAGGTGCAGCGTGCTGGACTGTCAGCAAGGTCTCCCAGGAAGACCCCAGAGGTGCTGAAAGAAAAACCAGGAAGGGAAAATGCAAACTCCATATACGCCAGCCTCTTGTTTTGGATGTTTCCAGGCTTGGCCAGCACCTCTCATGGCTGGCAAAGGCCAAGGACCCCCTCCACCTGCCCTTTCCCTGGTTCAGTCTCCACGCTGTACCTGTGCCTTCCTGCTTGCTTTGAAAGATGAGGAGCATTTCAGAGTGAAGCTCCACAATCTTTTCGGCAGGGCTATTTTTATCAGAGATAGTTCCCTTATCCACTTCCCAGTGCGTCCCATGAAGAGTGAAGCTGTCACATCTGTGAGAGCAGGATGGCAGGGTGAGCTGCTCAAACTGGGGCAGCTGCCAAGAGGAATGGCTGCGGAGCCACAGCTGGGAGGAACCTGAGGGAGAAGGCTCAAAGCAACCTGCAGAGCCATTACATCACAGAATCATAGGATGGTTTGGGTTGGAAGGGACCTTCATGATCATCTCGTTCCAACCAAGGGGCAAAATGGGCATGTCATGGGCAGGGATGCCTTCCCCTAGAACAGGTTGCTCAAAGCCCCATCCAGCCTAGCCATGAACACTTCCAGGGATGGAGCATCCCCATGAAAGGGATCAATACTGTGCTTTCCTAGTTTTGGAGGCTTTGCCTAAGCCTCCTGCTGATGAGATTACACCAGCAGTGACTTCTGCCTCTCCATGGACACAAGAGCCACCTCCTCAGATGGAACCTGATTGGCACTCAGCATCCACAGTTGGTACTTGGTGGCCACTGATGGTCTTCCATGGTCTTGCTGGGCTTGAATTTTGCCCTGGAAGGGCAAAAGCAGCCATACCCATCCCACATCCAGAGGTCTGCCAGCCAGCATGGTCTGGCAGGCTGGGACATCAGGAGCATGGGCAGTGCCCTGGAGGAGGCAGGCTGGGTAGTTCAAGGCAAGCTGATCTCCTCCAGCTCCTGCAGGACCATGCTGGGAGCTGGTACGATGGCATGGCAGAGAGGGATGGGCAGGAGCTGAGCTGAGCTCTGCCCTGGCACATCCAGCCCGTCCCCTCTGCATCACATCCCTCTCCTCACTGCCTGCATCGGGGAGGGAGCTCTGGTGAAATAAAATGGGATCCCTGAAAGAAAAATGAAAGGTCGCGTATTTCCATGAGGCAGGGTTTCAATTTGTGTCACACAATCACATTTCCTTCTGCAGTCTGGAATAATTACACAGCGGAGCAGGGCGAGCAGATCTGATTCAGAGGCACGGGGACAAGAACGAGTTCTGAAATGAAAGAAGACAAATGCAATCATTAAGATACAATAGGCTGCACTTGCCCCTTAATTAGACTTTCTCTTTGATTAAGCAGTAATTAAATATTACCGTACTGAAAGGGATTTTTTTAATGGCCCTCCGAAGCCCTAATGTATTCTTAAGATGTTTGTGTGAAGAGCAGGGGCTGCAGGGGGGAGCTGGGGATGGGAGGATATTTTACGTCTGCCCCATCCCCACAGGAGCAGCCCTCCCACCCCTCTGCTCTCCAGAGGGCGTGGGCTGGTGGCTGCTCCTGGGTGGGATTGCTGCAGGAGTGAAGTGTCCATGGGGAAGCCTGCTCTTCCTGGCCACCCCCAGCATCTCATCATAACCTGGGCAAGGCTATCACAGTGCTGCTGTCCTGTAGGTATGGTAGTTAATGTCGTAGAATAGAAACATGGACTTGTTTAGGTTGGAAAAGACCCCTAAGATCTTGGAGTCCAACCATTACCCCAGCACTGCCAAGCCCATTCAGTTCTGTCTCTAAGCACCATATCTACATGTCTTTTAAATCTTTCAGGGAAGGTAACTCCACCACTTCCCTGGGCAGCCTGTTCCAGTGCTTGACAACCTTTTCGGTGAAGAAATTTTTCCTAATATCAAATCTAAACCTCTTCTGGCACAACCTGAGGTCGTTTCCTCGATGTCGTTTTGGTGAATCTCATTTTCTACAGGCAAACCGTGGCCTCTGTGGCCCCAGGGAATACAGCTGGCTCACAGCCCTGGCCCCAGGCTGGTCCAGCTGAAGTCCAAGACCACCTCACTGACAGTGTGACAGCTCCTCGGGGCCTGTCCCTCTGAGGTTGGCCACCCCGAGCTTTGGGAGCCATGGATCAGCAAAGGAGAAGTCTGGGAAAAGGACCTGGAGCATATTTGTGCTGTTAGCAGCAAAACCAGAAAGACTTAAGATGCTGAAACATCTAAAGGGAAGGAAATGTCAGGCCCCTATTCCTGGACATTCCTGGGTGGGTAAAAATAGTCCTTGGGCGACCTGGGGGGGGAAAGTGCTTCTGATCTCTTAATGCAGAGCCCCTGCCGTAGCCCTGCGGGCTCTCTGCCACTCACAGCCCTGCTTGCCTCTGCTTTTTCCAGGCCATAAAATGACAGCTCTTGCTGAGAATTTCACTAGATGAGATTGGCTTGTTCTTTTCCTGCACAGCGTGTACTTTGGGTAGTATCTTCGGGAAATTTTGGCGTACTTGTGTACCCAGTATTTTTGTTAACCTAGAAAAAAAGATCCCTAAGCGTTATGATTATGCTATTAAACCTTTATTGTATCAAAGAAAACAAATTGGAGCAAGAGAGGAGCTGTATGGAGCTGAAAAGTGTTAAGCTACAGTAGTAATCTGCCTTTAATTGTTTAATTTTGCTTAAAACCGAAAATACCGCAAGGCTGGAGAATGAAAGAGCTGGTGGTGCTGAGGGGTTGTGGGGCAGAGTGTGCAATCCCTGTGCTGTACCCATGGTCCCTCCAGCTGGACATCACTGAGTTCTGGACAGGGATAGGGGTGGATTTAAGCTGGATGTGGATGGTTTGTAGGGTGTGGTTACACCACTGTGCTCCCCCCCACAGCTGGTTATTTGGTTTGGGTGGGCCAAGTCCTTTGCACCACGTGTCCCATCAGCAGAGCTCCTCGCTGAGATCCTCAGTTGGGGGGAAGCTCCCAGAATCTGAGCAGTGTTTTTCCTTCCTGTCTTTTGCAGAAGAACGAATGGCTGTGCTTGAACTGCCAAACCCAACGGCTGCTCGAAGGCAGCCTCGGCGACCCTGCCCCGATGCCACTGCCTACCCCAAAGCCACCGTCCACCGGCTCCCCGCGGCACCAGCCGCCCACCACCGGCCAGCAGCAGAGAGCACCCACACCGGCACCCGCACCCGCACCCACCGAGCCAGCGGCACCCCCTGAGCCACAGCCCTCGCCTGCCAAGAGCCTCCGGGCTGCCGAGCAGAGCAGGACTCTGAGCCCTGTCCCAGCAGAGAAGAAGCCCCCAGCACCGGCAGAAAAAAAGCCCCCAGCACAGGCAGAAAAGAAGCCCCCGGCACAGGCAGAAAAGAAGCCCCCGGCACAGGCAGAAAAGAAGCCCCCAGCTCCAGCAGAGGACAAGCCGCCGCCCAAAGCTGCCCCGGAGCCTTCCAGAGCCCCTGAGATCGCCATTCCAAAGGGGAAGAGCGTGACCCCCAAACCGGAGGTGGAGAGCAAGGAGAGCCGGGCAGTGCCCGAGGCACCGCGGGCGAAGGAGCAGGAGGTGAGCTCTGAGGGTGCGTCCAGCTCCCAGCGTCCCCAGAGACTGCATCCTGCCCCAGGCTGGCTTGGTGCTGAACCGTGCCTCTGGTGGCAGTTGTGCTCACAAGTGGGGAGAATTATTCCAAATTAGAACACAAACCATGTTGTCGAGGCCATTTGCCCCAGGAAATGGTCTTTTGGGGAATGGTGAGTTCCAAACACTGCTGTCTCAGCATTCCCAAATGCCTTAGGACCTTCACAGGCTTCATGGCAGCGTGCTGGTATTTGCCTTCTATTTATTAGGATTACATCAAGTTGGGCAAAATGTGATAGTTCAGGTCATCTCTGGCCTTTGGATTTGTTTTAAAATAACATAAAGGCAGTTGGATTTTTCATGAAATGAAAAACTCGTTTCCCCACATTCCACGTTGCAGCAGTGGGCATTTTTCAAGCTCCTCGTCCCGCTTTTTGCAAATTCAGTACAATTTTGAGAAATGTTTGGCTGCCTTGGGATAGTGTAACCCCATGAGCAGCCATCCCAGCAGCAACCAGCAGAGCCCCCCATGGGGAGGGGATGCAGCAGGAGGTCCCCACCAGCCAGGAGGGGTTGGCTGCCCCCCTCACCGCTGTGCAGCCCCCCAGGGAAGAGGCTCCTTGTGCCCCAAAATCAAGTGGTCTGCAGTGCCTCTATGCTGGCAGGGTGACAGGCCCTGGGTGTGATGGCACTGTCCCCATGGCTCGGAGGCTTTCCCCCACACTGCCTAATTGCAAAGCCAGTGAAAGGGGCCTGTTTATTTCTGCTGTTGTCTAATGAGGATCCTGGGGGCTGCCCTGCTTCTGAAGGGTTGTTTGGGAGCTGAGGGCTTCCAGTTTTTTAAACATATTTATTAGTTCCCTGATGCCTTTGTCCCCAGGGCCATTTGCTGTGCCACACCCTGCTTGCAGCACTCCCTGTCACCTGCCTTCGTTAGCACAGACAAGTTGCTGCTGAGCCACTGAGTTGGGGACATGGAGGGGGCCCCCAGCCTTCATGCTGGGCTGGCTCCCAGTGCTGCCCAGACCTTTTGCGTGCTCCCTGGGAGTGGGTTTTGGGGGAAGCAGGGGCAGCAGCTCCAGAGCCGCCCAGGTCTGACACTGTGCTCTCCCTTGCCCACAGGATGGGAGCAAGCCTTACCCCCCAGACCTGTCCCGCAGCCCCCAGAGCCTCAGCGACACCGGCTACTCCTCCGATGGCATCTCCAGCTCGCAGAGCGAGATCACCGGCCTGGTGCAGCAGGAGGAGGAGAAGCTGAGCAGCACCGGGCTGGCCGGGCAGAGCCCCCCCAGCCCCTCCGAGCTCACCAAGCTGGAAAGCAGCATGCGGCCCCTCCTGGAAGGCCGGGGTGCCCCACCAGAGCCCACCGAGCCTGGCAAAGGCCGTTCGGAGACACAGGAGGATCAGCGACAACGGCAGCGGCCACGGTACCTCTCTATCACCCCCGAAGCCTTCGACTCGGACGAGGAGCTGGAGGACATCTTGGAGGAGGATGAGGAGTGGGATAACCAGCGGGAGCGGCGGGAAAGTGCTGAGTCCTCAGATGAGTTTGGCAGCAAGCTGCGGCACGACTACGTGGAGGACAGCAGCGAGGGGGGCTTCTCCCCAGTGCCCCCCCGGGCCAAGGGCCGGGAGGCGGAGGTGAGCGATGAGGAGTTCATGCGGAGGCAGATCCTGGAGATGAGTGCGGAGGAGGACAACCTTGAAGAGGAGGAGGAAGGCTACGGGCGCACCAAGTACAGCATCCCCAAAGCCGGGCAGAAGGCCGAGGCAGAGAAGGGCAAAGAGCCAGCGCCAGCCAAGCGGCGCCTGCCACATGGTGCCAGCAGCATGTACACGGAGGAGAGGAAGGAGGTGGAGGCAGCAGAGGGTGATGACTTGAGCACGGCCCAGGGTGGGCTCCGGCGATTCAAGACCATTGAGCTGAACAGCACAACTGGCTATGGCCGGGAGATGGAGATGGGCCAGGAGGCGGACACCAGCCTGGACCGGGAGCCTGAGCTGGAGATGGAGAGCCTGACAGGCTCCCCTGAGGAACGCTCCCGGGGCGAGTATTCCTCCACCCTACCAGCCACAACGCCCAGTTACACCTCGGGCACCTCACCAACCTCCATCTCCTCTCTGGAGGAGGACAGCGACAGCAGCCCCAGCCGCCGGCAGCGGCTGGAGGAGGTGAAGCAGCAGAGGAAGGCTCGGCACCGCTCACATGGGCCCTTGCTGCCCACCATTGAGGACTCATCTGAGGAGGAGGAGATGCGGGAGGAAGAGGAGCTGCTGCGGGAGCAGGAGAAGATGCGGGAGGTGGAGCAGCAGCGCATCCGGAGCACAGCACGCAAGACCAAGCGTGACAAGGAGGAGCTGAGGGCCCAGCGGAGGAGGGAGCGCTCCAAAACACCCCCCAGCAACCTCTCCCCCATCGAGGATGCCTCCCCCACTGAGGAGCTGCGACAGGCGGCAGAGATGGAGGAGCTGCACCGCTCCTCCTGCTCTGAGTACTCGCCTTCCATCGACTCAGAGGCAGAGAGCTTTGACGCTGTGACCTCCAAGCTATACAAGTCAGGCAGTGAGTACAACCTGCCCACCTTCATGTCACTCTACTCCCCAACAGAGAAGGTGGAGACCGGCCCCAGCCAGCCCGCCAGCAAGCCCCTCAAGAGTGCCGAGGAAGCCTACGAGGAGATGATGAGGAAGGCAGAGATGATGCAGAAGCAGCAGGTCCAGCAGGCCCAGCCGGCCTCTTCCTTTGGCAGCACCTACCAGCAGGTCGGCTACCGCGGCACCGAGAGCCAGAATGGCTTCGAGTACCAGTATGCCGATGAGTACCGGTACGACAGCGGCCTCATGCGCCCCTCCCAGCCTGACTATCCCAGCGCCCTGCCAAAGGTGGGAGCAGTGTATGAGGAGATCCTGCAGACCTCGCAGAGCATCTCCAGGATGCACCAGTCTTCTTCCTTTGACCTGGCCCTCGAGCAGGGTGAGAAGGCGAAGGGGCAGGAGGAGGCGTACCAGGAGAAGCGCTTCCTCAATGCTGAGAGCGCCTACGCCGAGCTGTTGAAACAGAACGGCGGCCCGCTCACCCCCGGCACCAGCCCCACACAGCTCTCTGCTCCTGTCTCCTTTGCCAGCTCTGACAGCAGCACGGGCAAAACCATTCCTGATGTCCGGGTCACCCAGCATTTTGCAAAAGAGGGGCAAGACCTAGCCAAGGTCCAGAGTGCCCCGGCAGCACCCAGCCCAGTATCCAAGCCTACCACCATTCCTTATGCCTACAGCAAAGGTGCCAGCACAGTGACAACAGCGGCGGGCAGCCCTGGGAGCACACTGCGGAGCTACAGCTCACCAGCTCCAGAGACCCCATCCATAGCTGGGAGAAGCTATACTCCAGCAAAGAGCACCGTCAGCTATGGCTCACAGACAGAGGACACCAGCAGAACCAGGACGGTGGAGATCAGCGTGCAGACAGCCAGGGAGAAGCTCCCAGCCGTGAGCGACAGCAAGCCTGCAGTGCCCAAGACATACCCCTTCTTCAAAACCTCCAGCCCTCCACTCTCTCCCACCTCCCCCACACAGAGTCCCACCCGCACCACAAAGGCCACAGCTGAGTTTTCCACGCAGACACAGAGCCCCATCCTCTCCTACGAGGGTCTCTCTGCCGCGGCTGCTGGCCCGGACACGTCTTCCCCCATGGTGGCACAGGGGACGCAGACACCGCACCGGGCGGGCTCGCCGCGCCTGACCCGGCAGGCCTCCTCACAGGACTCCCCCTTCATGGTGATCACACTGGCGGCCGACGCAGCCAGCCAAACCAAGCCAGTCAGCTCTGGCGCTTTGACGTCCCCGACCTCATCCCCCACCAGGCCAAGCCGGCAGCTGCTGGCCCACGGTTACACCCAGACACCGGAGCCAGAGCAGCTGGCAGGTGCCTACATCAGGGCACAACCAGTGAAGGACCATGCCCAGAAAGCAACTGCCGTGACTTCAGCTGCTGATGGCATCACAGGGCTATACAGCTGGGGAGCGCTCCCTGCGGAAAACATATCCCTCTGCCGCATCTCCTCCATCCCCGGCACATCTCGAGTGGAGCCAGGGCCCAAGGTGCCAAGCAGCAATGCTGTGGATTTGCGGACAGCACTGAAGTCTGCCCCCATCATCATAACAGACCAAGGCATGGATCTCACATCCTTGGCCACTGAGGCCAGGAAGTATTGCCTGACCCTGGACCACATCCCAAACCGGCAGTCCACGGCCATCCAGCCCTTGATCATCAACCTCAATGCCCAGGAGCAGCCCCATGCCATCATCGCAGCAGCCAGCACTGCCGGCCTGGCCATCGCCTCCCCCATGATCCTTTCACAGTCCAAACAACCTGTGGTCTATGGAGACCCTTTCCAGAGCCGTGTGGACTTTGGGCAGGGGACTGGGAGTCCAGTGTGCTTGGCACAGGTGAAGCAGGTGGAGCAGGGAGTCCAGACAGCCACTGTCAGAGCCAGTGGGGTAGCCAGTGGCAAGCCCGAGCCTGCCACTGGCCCCCAGACCAAATTTGCAAGGTATGGCGTGCCGGGCCAGATGGCAAAGAAGGATGTGCTTCTCACACAGACTGGCGGGGTGCAGAATGCTGGTGGCCTTCCACAGTCCTTCCCGCCAGAGCCGGGCTCGGAGGTGTACCGGGCAGTGCCAGTGGAGCTGAAGAGCCAGAGCCCTCTCCTTGCCCTAGGCGGCAAGAAGTCCCAGGTGATGATGGTGCAGATGGAGGAGGCAGCTACTGGCCCAGTGACCAAAGTGCTGAAGGAGGAGGCGCCGACCAATGTGCTGGACCTCACAGGCGTGAAGCCAGAAAGCCAGGTGGCCTGCTGTGACATGGTCTACAAGTTCCCCTTCGGCGGCAGCTGCACCGGCGCTTTCAACCCCACCTCCAAGATGCCAGAGAAAAAAGCCGGGGAGGCAACGGTGGCGCCTGGACGAAAAGCCAGTGGGCCCCTCTATGGCAGCAGAGAGCCAGAGCTGCCAGAGACCTTCCCCTACCGGGAGCAGCCAGCCCCAGCACCTGCACTCTATGAGGAGCAGAAATTTTATGCAGCTAGCGCCTTTGGCCGCCTCTACTCTTCCATGTCAGACACAAACCTCTCTGAAATCGGGATGGGCTACTACCACACGAAGGGGGATCAGCCCTTCCCCTCCCCGGCAGGTGATGCCGCTGTGGACCTGAGCACCATGAAGCACTCCTACAGCGTGGGCTTTGCTGAGGGGGGTTACCTGGGCCAAGGGCTGCAGTACGGCTCCTTCTCCGACCTGCGACAACCTGGAGAGCTGCTGAGCCACCCATTCCCCATGCGGAGGTACAGCTCAGCCTCCAACATCTACTCTGACTACCGTTTCTCGCCCCGGGGGGACCTGGCCAGCTTCCAGGAGTCCAGCCTGGCCCACTACAGTGCCACCACGGCACGCGAGATCAGCCGCATGTGCGCTGCCCTCAACTCCATGGACCAGTACGGGGGCCGGCATGCCAATGGCCCCGACATGCTGCCCTATGGCCCCAGCGCTGGGCAGGGGGGCACAGGGGGGCTGGCAGCTCAGCAGCAGGGCCCTGTACCGCCCAAACCCGGCGGGATGTACAACCCCACCTTCCCCGAGGGACGGCAGGGCTTCAGCAACCTGGCACAGTACAATGTTCCCGGCGTCCGCCTGGGCGCCATCCGGCAGATGCTTCCTTCCACTGCAACCGTGCGGGCCGCTGATGGCATGATCTACTCCACCATCAACACGCCCATCGCCTCCACGCTGCCCATCACCACCCAGCCCGCCTCAGTACTGCGGCCCATGCTGCGTGGGCTGTACAGACCCTACGGCCCTGGTGGCGTAGCAGCGGTCCCACTGGCCAGCCTGGCCAGGCTGCCCGTCGTCACCCCCCGTGTCCCGCTGGCAGCACAGGGCCTGTACCGCTTCCCAGCCCCGAGCCACGCAGCCCCAAGTCATGCAGCCCCGAGCCACGCAGCCCCGAGCCACGCAGCCCCAAGCCACCCGGCTCCAAGCCGTCCAGCCCCAGCAGCCTCACTGATGGAGACACCTGTCTACCTGGGGAAGCCTGTCGTCAGCACAGCACCAGCAACGGCGGGAGCTGGTCCCACTCCCAAAGCCCCTACTGCCCCAGCTGCCCCCACCAGTGGCTTGCAGAGAGTGGAGCCGCCACCCGCTGCCCCTCGTGTGGAGGCACCGGCAGCGCCAGCAGCCGCCAAGGAGAGCGTGCAAGCAGCCGCAGCGCCCAAGCCGCCACTGGATGGGGCTCTGCGGGAGGAGCGGGAGCGGGAAGAGGAACGACAGCGCAAGCAGCAGGAGCACGTGCTGCAGCTGGAGCGGGAGCGCGTGGAGCTGGAGAAGCTGCGGCAGCTGCGGCTGCAGGAGGAGCTGGAGCGGGAGCGCGCGGAGCTGCAGCGGCACCGTGAGAAGGAGCAGATGTTGGTGCAGCGGGAGCTGCAGGAGCTGCAGTGCATCAAGCAGCAGGTGCTGCAGCAGCAGCAGGAGGAGCGGCATGCACAGCTGGCACTGCAGCGGGAGCAGCTCGCCCAGCAGCGCCTCCAACTCGAGCACATCCACCAGCTCCAGCACCAGCTGCAGCAGCAGCTGGAGGAGCAGAAGCGGCAGAAGACCATCTTCCCTGCGCCCGTCGAGCCCACTGCCCGCCCACCTGAGGGGCCCGCCGAGGTGCCACGGGGGCTGCCACACAACGGGCAGGCATGGGCCCCACCGGGCCAGGCACCCCCAGAGGGGCCCACCGGCCCCCGCTACCCTGTGCCGCAGAGGCCGCTCAGCAGCTCAGCCTCGGACATGTCACTGCAAGTCGAGGAGTCCTGGGAGCCCGGCCGGGGCATCAAGAAAAGGAACTCGATGCCACGGCTGCGGGATGCCTACGAGAAGGAGGCGACACGGGAGGCCTTCGTGGCAAGGAAGACAGCAGACAGCAGCGTGCAGACAGACGAGGAGGATGGCGAGGAGCGGTACATGCTGTCACGGCGACGGCGGACGCGGCGCAGCGCTGACTGCAGCGTGCAGACAGACGAGGAGGACAGCGGGGAGTGGGAGCAGCCTGTGCGCCGCCGGCGCTCCAGGGCCTCACGGCATGCCGAGGCCAGCGCTGAGGGCAAGACGGACGGGGTGACCCGCGGTACAGCCAGTGTGGGCATCCAGACCATCAGCGACTGCTCAGTGCAAACAGAGCCCGACCAGCTCCTCCGTGTCTCCCCCTCCATCCACATCACCACCCATGACCCCCGGGTGGAGATCGTGAAGTACATCTCGGCCCCGGAGAAGACGCAGCGGGGTGAGAGCCTGGCCTGCCAGACGGAGCCAGAGCCAGCCCCTCAACCTGGCGTCGTGGTCCCCCAGCTGACGGTGCCCACCACCATCCCACCCTACTCTACCAACCTCCAGATAGTGAGCACAGGCCCCCTGGACCCCCACGCAGTCCGGCAGCAGACCCTAGGCAAGTTTGAGAAGAAGAAGCCAGATCCCCTGGAAATCGGCTACCAGTCCCATCTGCCGGCCGAATCCCTCTCCCAGCTGGTGACCCGCCAGCCACCCCGCTCTCCTCAGGTCCTCTACTCACCCGTCTCACCCCTGTCCCCCCACCGTCTCCTGGAGTCCTCCTTCGCCACCAGCGAGCGGCTGAACAAGGCCCACGTCCCCCCGCAGAAGCACTTCACCACCGACTTAGCCCAGCGCCAGCAGACGCTGCCACGCCCCATCAAGACCATGCAGCGCTCCCTCTCCGACCCCAAGCCCATCAGCCCCACCGCCGAGGAGGCCGGCAAAGACAGGTTTTCCCTCTATCAGCACCCACTGCTGCCCAGCACCCAGGTATGTCACCACAGGGAACAATCTTCCCCTCAGGGATCAGCCCCGGGAGGCACCTCGGGGCACTTCAGTTTCATTAGCACTGCAGCAGTTAATATTTCAAAAGGCCAGCTTCCTGTGGCAGCTGATGGCAGCCAGTGGGCACAGACATGTGCAGCGACACTGGCAGCCAGAGGGAGGCCTTGGACGTCCACTGGCTGCATGAGCCTGTCAGCAGGCAGGAGGTGCTGTGGGATAGCAGGATCAGGGCTGTCCCCTATCCCTTTTCCCCTGCTCCAGCTGGGTCCCCCTTCTCACATGAGGAGCCACCATAACCCACAACTCCATTTCGGGTTGCAGTGGCTCTTACTCCCACCTTTGTCCCTACACACTGAAGTTGCCTTGACTTGCTAAGTGCCCAGGCAAGAGCCACGAGGCAATTCCTGGGGCAGCAGCACCCCAGGCAGTCTCCTGAGTCCCTCTGCCATGTGCCCGCAGATAGAAAGCATTTTTTGCAGCAGAGGGCACACACGTGGCCAGCCTGGCACTTGGCCGGCTGCCACCCCCGGTAATTACTCACGGAAAGCGCCCTGCCTGTTACTTCCATCCTATTTATTGCGCTTTTACATAAACGCCGCTTCCTCAGTGCATGGGGGAACACGTGCACAGTGGGACACCTCACCACAACCCCCGGGGCATGGGAGGAGCACTGTGGTGCTTGGGGTGGGACATGGGGGGACACCCACCCGCCCCCCTGACCCAGTGTCCCTTGGCTTTGCAGGTGGGGGGGCTGCAGTCGAGCTCACTGGCACGCAAGGTGAAGCGGACACTGCCCAGCCCACCGCCCGAGGAGCCCCACGTCCCCCTGGCCAGCCCGGCCGCCTCCCAGCTCTACCTGAGCAGCCTGGCCACCAAGGCCACCGCGCCGGTCACCAAGGCCAGCCTGCTGAAGGAACTTGACCGTGACCTGAGGCTGGTGGAGCATGAGGCCACCAAGCTGCGGAAGAAGCAGGCGGAGCTGGACGAGGAGGAGAAGGAGATTGATGCCAAGCTGAAGTACCTGGAGCTGGGCATCACCCAGCGCAAGGAGTCGCTGCTGAAAGATCGGGGTGGTGGGCGGGACCACCCCTACCTGCGCTACCCTGGGGACCGCCGGGACTACCTGTCCGACAGCGAGCTGCACAGCCTGCGCCTCGCCGCCTATGACGGCGCTGGCCTGCGCCCCACACCTGCTGGGCAGTACCCCGACTACACCGCCACCGCTGCTGCCGCCTCCTATGGCGCCTACCCCTACCCCGCCCCACAGGGCCCTGCTGCCTTCCCGCCGCCGCGCCTGCAGCACCCCCAGTACCCTGCAGCCAGCACCTCGCAGGATGGCTTGTCGGCAGCCCCACTGCCCACCTTCACCTCACCCGCTGCCTTCCCGGCCCACGGCACCACATACCCAGAGCTGGCCACGCCAGCCCAGCCAGGCTTCCAGCCCCCAAACCCCTACCAAGCCCCCAGCGCCTATGCCGGGGCAGCCGCCGTGCCGGCGGCACAGCCCGCCCTCTATCAGAGCCCAGCAGACTTAGCTGGCGGGCACCAGAAGCCACGGCAGACCTCACTGGCTGACCTGGAACAGAAGATCCCCACCAACTACGAGGTCATCAGCGCAGCCACCAGCTCCTCTGCCGTGCCTGATGTCACCTTCAGCACCGCACCGGCGAGTGGCAGCTACGAGCAGTACAAGGCGCCTGAGACCCGGCCGGCCGAGAGAACCAGCACGACACCAGGCCCCTCGGCCAGCTACTCTTCTGAGTCCCTCTACACCAGCCTGGAGCAGAACATCCCCCGTAACTATGTGATGATTGAGGACATCAGCGAGCTCACCAAGGAGAGTCCAGCGGTGGAGGGGCACAAAGCGGAGCCGATGGGCACAAGCGTCGACAGCCGCCACGTCAGAGAGAAGAGCGACCTGGGGGACACCGAGAGCTCCAGCCGGCCCTGCTGTTACACCAAAGCTGAGGAGGAGTCTGAGGAGGACATCTATGACCACCATGGCCCTGACTATCGTGGGAAGAACAGCTACTACCGGGGCACAGAGAGCAATGGCAGAGTGTCAGGGAGCTCCACCAGCTCGAGCTACTACTATGGGGACAGTGAGTACCGGCATTCCTCACGGGTGGACAAGCATGGCTCTGGCACACCACTACCGAAGCATTCATCCAAAAACCTGGCACCCGCCGTCATCTCCTCCAAGCGCAGCAAGCACAGGAAGCAGGGCATGGAGCAGAAGATCTCCAAGTTCTCGCCCATCGAAGAAGCCAAAGACGTGGAGTCAGACCTGGCCTCCTACTCAGCAACAACCTCAGTTGGCAGCAGCAACGTGGCCTCCAGGGCCAAGAAGCTGCAGGATGAGATCACCTATGGCCTGAAAAAGAACGTCTACGAGCAGCAGAAGTACTATGGCGTCTCCAGCCGGGATCTGGTGGACGAGGACGAGCGGGTCTACTCCAGCAGCAGCAGAACCCGCTCCTCTGGCTATGGGGTGGAAAAGTCCTCTGGCCGGGAGATGGGCAGCCGGAGCAAGTCCTATGAACGGGAGGCCATGGAGCGCTCCCAGAAAGTCAGCTCCAAGCCCTCGTCCCTCAGCATGAGCCAGAGCCGCGGGCGGGCGCCCATGCGCTCGCAGCCCTCGGAGGAGGAGAGCCCCGTCAGCCCCCTGGGGAAGTCAGTGGGGGGGTCACGCACTGCGGGGGGGCCAGGCCCTCAGTCTGCAGGGGACCCCTGCTCCCAGTTCTGCTCCAGCCACTCGTTGCCTGATGTGCAAAAGCACATCAAAGACGTGCCAAGGAGTCACTCGTACAAGCACGAGGAGGGCTACGGCATGGACGATGCCCATTGCGTTGTCTCAGACAGCGAAGGTAACGGCTCCCCGTGGTGACCACCCCAGAGCATGGCACTTCCCCGGGGCATGCCTGTCCGCTCGTACGCAGAGACACTCTCACCGCCTCAGTTTGCTTGACATGTGCCTTCCTCCCCCCACCCCGGGTGTTCGGTGTTAGCCGGTCCTGCACGGTGCCCCACAGCGCCATGCCGCGCCGCGTCCCGTCCCCACCGGCACGTGCTGTCCCCTGCGCGCGTGCCCGCTGCTTGCCTCTCCCACTCATTGCATGGCTTCCGCCCGGGCAGCCTCGAGCGAGAGATTGACTGTGGTTTGTTTTTGGTTTCCGAAGCCTATCATTTGGGTCAGGAGGAGACAGACTGGTTTGATAAGCCCAGGGAAGCGCGGGCAGAGAGGGTCAGGCACTACGGTGGCCACTCTTCCTCGCAGAAGAGACCCCCAGTTAAGCACACCTACCACGATTATGATGAGCCCCCTGATGAAGATCCGTGGCAGCACGATGACTACCCCCAGCACCGTGAGCACCGGCACCACAGGGAGTATGATCGCCACTCTGGCACCTCCCGGCACGCCAGCGATGAGCCCCCGCGCCGCTCGGCAAAGCAGCACCCACGAGAGTCTGGCCGCCACGAGCCCCGCAGCCACGGGCCACCGTCCGGCCCCAAGAAGGCACAGCAGCCCGAATCCCGTGCGCCTTACGGCCCCAGCTCTGCTGAATATGGCCCATCATCCCGCCCTGCTGCTCACCACCATGGCACCGAGACCCCCAAGGCACAGAAGCCTTCCCAGCCACACGTGTCGGCCACGACAGCGCCCAAGTCGGAGCCCCTCGCACACCCGCAGCAGCCGGCGGCCAGGCCGCAGCAGGCAGGGCAGCCAGCAGCACGGCAGCAGCCAGTGGCACGGCAGGCTGCCCAGCCAGCAGGCTCAGCACAGCCCGAGGCCAGGGGCAGGACACAGGGACCTGCCTCGGCCCGGCCACCGCAGCAGCAGCCGGGGCCAGCCCAGGCAGCAGGGAAGGCACCGGCCGCACTCCACACACAGCCGGGCGGACACCCAGCACCGGTGGTAAGTACGGGCTTGACCAGCTGGGCCCCACAGTTCTGCCTGGGATCAGACTGGCTGGCTGTGGCCAGGGGTGGCAGAAGGGCTGGAAACAGGAGCCATGGGGCAAAGAGTATCCCACCCATATGCCCACCACAACCATCCCTGGGTGCCCTGGGAGCAGCCATCCCCTCAAGGAGACATCCCCTGGATCCCTTGCTGCCTCTTTTGGGGCCCTGGAACAGCGTTTGGGCATTTCCTCCTGGCCTGCACCACCCCTAGTGGATGCTCTGCTGGGAGAGTGAGCCCTGAGAGCTGTTTTCTCCATTCCAGACAAAAGCAGAGCCGACGGACACGTCCAAACCCGCAGCGAAAGTGCCACAGCAGCCAGGGAGAGCTCCAGCAGCACAGCCCCTGGGAGCAGCAGGTCAGTGGGCCCCAGTGGCACAGTGCCATCTGTCCCCTCTCATGCCAGCTACCTGGCACCCCCAGCTGGGCCTGTCCCCTGTTAACAGTGGTTTTGTTTGTCCCCCAGCAGACAGCAAGGCTGGTCCAAGGGCGGCCGGGCCACGAGGTCCCGCTGGCATGGCCACGGGGCAGCCTGGTGGGGAAGGAGAGAGTGTCTTCTCCAAAATCCTGCCAGGGGGGGCAGCGGAACAAGCAGGCAAACTGACTGAAGGTGAGGGCTGCTCCTGGGATGGGGATGGGGCAGTGATGCTCTTCTGTGCCAAATGGGGTCAGGTGCTCTGGGGATGGTTGGGGTGCAGTGCTCCCGCAGTTTGGGGCCCAGGGAGGGGGGGGATTAGGGGAGCCACACTGACACCTCTCCTGGCTTCCCCACAGCGGTGTCAGCTTTCGGCAAGAAGTTCACTTCATTCTGGTGAGAGAACGGCACAAGGTGAGTGCAGATGGCACTGGGCACTGCGCCGTGGGCTCTCCCTGCCCCGGCTGTGCCTGAAACCCTCCTGCTCCCTCCTGCTGCAGGAGTTTGGGAAGCGAGTGGAGATTGAGTCGTTGCAGTGGAAAAACCTATGAAGAAGCCAATGAATTCAGCACGCAGCGCCAGACTCTGAGTATAACGGTGAGCGCCCATGTAGAGGGCTGGAGAAGTTGGCTGCCCTTAAGGATGAATCCTCACACTGAGGTCCCCTCCACCATGCCATCCCTGGGGCTCCAGTGGCACTGCTGTTGCCCCAGCACATACTGAGCTCTGCCCTGCCACAGTCCCAGTCACCACTGTGGGAAGGACCTGGTGCATCCCCGTCCCTTCACTCTGGGCCACTCATCACCATTTTCATGTCTAAGTGCCGGCCCCAAGCCAAGCCATAGGGGCTTGGCCTTGTTCCCCACTCTCGGCAGAGCCGTGTGGGCCGATGCCATGCGGATGCTGGTGCAGACCCTGGGTTTGCATGGAAGGTTTGGGTGGCCCAGGCTCTGCTCCGGGAGCCTGTCCAGCGCGGGGGCGGCAGCAGCTGCTCCGCCGGCAGTGCCTCTTGGCTCTCTGGGGCCCATTCGCTCAGGCCGGCACTGCAGCTCAGCAGGGCCCTTCCGCAAGGACGAGGCTGCTCAGACTAATACCTCTCTCTCTGTCTCTCACAAGCTTTTGAAAGCAGGGCGATCCCTGGATGCTGGACCAAACAGCGGCCGAGCAGGGGCCCGGCGGACGCCCTGGGGCAGGTGCCCCCCACGCCAGGCGAGCAGCTCCAGCGCGGCACACGGCAAGCCCCGGCAGCCGCCACGAGGGGATGGGCCTGATACAGACCATTGGGTCGGGCCCTGTGGGTGGGCTGCGGCCCTTTCTCAAGATTATACGCAGAGTTGCTCCTTCCGAACCCCAGCTCTGGCCTCTTCATAGGTTTTTCCCCCCCACAAGCCGAGGGCTGGGCGCCATGGGCGCCACTCCTCCTTCCCAACCCCATCCGCCCCGCCGGGGCCGTCCCCGCGCCCCCTGCACTGCGGCCCGCTCCCGGCCCCGCCGGGGAGCCCTCGGAGCGCGTCAGCTAGGACCTAACACTGTTTCACTACCGAAATACGAGGCCATAGGACTCTGACAGGCGGCGCGGCCGGCTGGGCGCATGTCCCAAAGCCATTGGAAGCATTGAAAGGGCCGCGCTCGCCCTCGCCACGCAGCCAGCGCGCCTGCCGCGGGCACCCCTTTTCTTTCAAGAACAGCCTTAATCATCCCACTTTGATTTCTGTGTATACCTCATCTGCACCGGGGGGGGCACGGGGCGTCGTCGGGGGGGTTCCTTTTTTTCTCGGTTTCTTTGGGTTCATTTTCTTTTCGTTTTTGGGGTTTTATTTTTCTAAAGTTTATACCAAATCCTCTTCCCTCTTTGCTTTGTGCGATGAGTTAGCACACGGGCTGTCGTCTGTAGAAGCAATAGAGTGCAGGAGGCTACAAAAGAGCACAAATCCCGTGGAACAAGATCAGGAGAGCTTTGCCTCCGGCAGTATCCTTCCTTTTACTGTGCAATCCAAGTCCTTCTCAAGCCATTTTGCGGGGACGGCCAGCGCAGCGGCCGGCGGCCAAAGCCCACTCGCCCTGCCAGGAGGGGGTTCCCCAGGGGGGGAGGCAGCCCGAGGAGGGGGCTCACCCACACCCCGCCGCCTCCCCACGCTGGCAGTGCCCCGCCGGCACCCCCGCGGCGGGGGGCACCCGCCCACCCACCCGCCCGATGTTCTATGCAACGAAATAACACGACTCCAGAACAAGACCTGTGAATAGCTTATCAGTTCAATGTCGCGCCCAAGGGTTCCATCGCAAAGCGTGCCGCCGAGCGACCCGAGAACTACTCTGTACCGACCACCCGTGCGTATGAATTCGTGGCATGTTCGACCCACGGAGGGCCACTTTGCCAAAGGGCAGCCCTAGCGCCCGTGACCGTCTGTCCCGTCGTAGAGCATGGCTTGCTACTTCTCTGCACGGTTCCACCCGCCTTTCAGTGCTTGCTGTTCTTTGCCTGGACTTTTCTTTTTTTCTTTTCCATCAGTCCATCGCTGTACTGAAAGCTCTTAGCAGATTTATGCACTTGTGATCGAGGACCCGGTTGCCGCGGGAAGCCCACACTCGCCGGGGGCTCTGCCGGTGCCCAAGGCTGGGGGGAGGCCGGTGGCTGTGGGACGGGGGGGGGGGGGGGTCAGCGTGGCACTGCTGGGGGCAGCCCCACTGAGGAGCCGCCCGGCCCCGCGCACACCCGCCGCCTCTCCCCGCCGCTGACAAGTGCAGAGCCTGAGGGTGCCTCCCCGGCCCCGCCACTCCTCGCGCTGTAAATACTTGTACAGTGTGTAAATCGCACGCGGGACCGAGACCCCGCCGGGGCCTAATCTCGCCGCCCGAGCACATCCGCCACCTTGCCTTCGTGCCTGCCAGGACCGGGGGCACAGAGCCCACCCCCGCCAGGCAGGGCCCCCAGCCCGAACCGTGGCGATCTGGCTGGGGCGGGGGGACGGGGGGGGGGTGCAAAGACCGAGGGCCGAGCGCGGCTGGGCGCTGTCTCCAGCGGTGAGTGCGATGCCGGGTGCGCTCCCTCTGAACATTGTGACGGTGTGCGTGTCTGCTGTGCTCTGTGCCACCCGTAGTGACCCCGTACCGTGCCGTACTGTGCCGTACCGTGCCGTACCGCCCCCGCCGCTGTGTCGTGACTCCCTCCCAGAAGCTGCCCCCTCACCAGGTGTTTCTGTGGGAACAGAATAAAAAGGACTTGACACAAACCACGGACTGGTCCCGATTCCTGCCTGCCTGCGGGGGGGGGGGGGGGGGGGGGGTGTCAGGGGGCTGGGACCCCTGGGCATGGTGCGGGTGGCCAGTATGGGAGCCCCGTGGATCTAGTTGGCACCAAGCACCGGTGGGCTCTGCAGTCCACACCTGGGCTGCTGGGCTGGGTGTCCCTGTGAACACCAAGGACCCAGACTCGCCTCCTTGTTCAGGCTGCTGGATCCTGTGGGCTCCCAAGGGTCCAATCCCCTTTGCCGCGGTGCTGCGTTGGGGGTCCCTGTACCCCGATCCCCCCGTTCTGCACACGGCCCCCCTGTGCCGCAGCCACCTGGTGGGGAAAAAACCGCGAGGCAGCCCAGAGGGTGCGGGGCCGCTCCCTGTCTCCCGGCTACGGCCTCAGAGGGGCCCCGGAGGCGATCGGGTGTCCGGGGGGGGAGCGGCCGCCGGGACACGTGGAGCGGGCGCGGGGGGGGGGGGGGAGCGGCGGCTCCGCCCGCGCCCACTAGGGGGCGCCCCAGTGCGGGCGGTGTCAGGAGCGCCGCAGCCAATGGGAGGCTCCGCGGGCTGGAGGCCCCGCCCATCACCCCCGGAAGTGTCGCCGCTGGCCACGCCCACGCCCCGACATGGAGCCGCCGGTGAGAGGCTGGGGGGGCGGGTCAGAGCTCCGGGAGCACCTCCGGTCATCCCGCACCCCTGTCCTGCACCCCCGGGACCCCCGACCCTCACTGCCCCCGCTCCTTCCCCGCTGCTCCGGTGACTGCCCCGGCTCGGCACCCCCTGGCACCCTCCTATATCCCCCCATGGACCCCGGTTACTGCCTCCCAACGCACTCATACCCACTAGTACCCAGTAACTTCCCCGAGTACCCTCCTAGATGCCCCCTGTGCCCCAGTAACTGCACCCAGTATCCTCGTACCCACTGGTACCCCAATAAGTGCCCCGACACCCTCCTAATCCCCCCTATGTGCCCCAGTACTGCTCTCCAGTACCCTCTTAGCCCCTGGCACCCCAGTAGTGCCTTGGCTCTGCACCCCCAGTACTGCCCCAGCCCTGCAGTAGCTGCCCCTCTACCGTTGTCCCCCTCCCATGTACCCCAAATCTGCCCCAGCTCTCCACTCTCAGGCATTGCTCCCAGTACGCCTCTACTTCTCCCCGTGTACCCTGGTGCCCCAGTAACTGCCTCCTGTGCCCCATCACTGCCCGGTCCTTGCCCCCCACCCCTCACCCCACACATCTCCAGCCACTCTGATCCCGCAGGTGCTGCCACGCACAGAGGAGCTGTCGGAGCTGTACCGGGAGCTGAGCCAGCACCCGGGGCTCAGTGCCGCCTGCCTCGGCCCCGACCTCACCACCCAGTACGGGGGCAAGTACTGCAGCCTCTACACCGGTACGGGGACGGGCTGTGCCCTCTGGGGACCGGGGGACCTGTCTGCCTGGTGGGGAGACAGCTGGTGTCCTCACCCCCCTCCTCAGAGTGGTCGCAGCGGGACCTGGCGAGGGCCGAGAACATCAAGTTCTGCCGCCAGTACCTCCTCTTCCACGATGGAGCCTCCATCGTCTACTCGGGGCCTGTCGGCACCTGCTCCGAGATCAAGGGCGAGTGAGTCTCATCCCGCTCCCCACATGGGATCCCCGGGGTGCTGATAGAGGGGCTGATGGGCATCCACCCACCCACAGGCTGCTGAGCCGCGAGTCCCCCAGCGGGACACTGAAGGCCGTCCTGTGCAAGGTCCCTGGCAAGGAGAAGGAGAAAGAGAAGGAGAAGCAGTTCCTGGAGGTGAGGAGGGGTCCAAGGGGGGGCTGGATACTTGCTGTGTCTCAGGGCCAGATCCACGCTGTGTCTTGGGGCCGCCCCACGATCTCTGTCCCCAGGTGTGGGATCAGAACCGCAAGGTAAAGAGCATTGACCTGACAGCGCTGGACAAGCACGGCAATGTCTGCGACGATGGTGAGGGGCCTGGGGACGCCAGGGGCTGTGGGGTCCTGGGGGAAGGGGTGGCTGGTGCTGACCGTACCCTGCAGACCAGTTTGGGTGCCTCGCCTGGTCACACTCGGAGACCCACCTGCTCTACGTGGCGGAGAAAAAGCGTCCCAAGACCGAGTCCTTCTTCCAGAGCAAAGCCCCTGAGCTGGGCACCTCTGATGAGGACACAGGGCAGCCCAAGAAGGAGGATGCGCCCCTCAAGGTGGGGTTCACCCACCCGCCCTGGGGCAGGTGGGGGCTGGACAGGTGGCTGTGGGGCTGACGGGGCTATGCCACAGGGTGAGCAGTTCGTGTACCATGAGGACTGGGGGGAGACTCTGAGCACCCGCAGCGTACCCGTCCTCTGTATCCTGGACATCGAGGGCAGCAGCATCTCAGTGCTGGAGGGCATCCCTGAGCACCTCTCTCCTGGCCAGGTCAGGATGGGGAGCCGCAGGGAACTGAAAGAGGGAGATTTTGGGGGCCAGCAGCCATCTGAGCCACTCATCTCCCCTCTCCCTGCAGGCTTTCTGGTCCCCTGAGGACACTGGCGTGGTGTTTGTGGGCTGGTGGCACGAGCCCTTCCGCCTGGGGCTGCGTTACTGCACTAACCGCCGGTGAGTCCTCGTGGGGCACCCCACAGCCTGAACCCCACGGTGAGGGGGGCACCCCACAGCCCCACCGTGACACCCCTGTGTGCTGGCAGGTCAGCACTCTTCTACGTGGACCTGACGGGTGGGAAATGTGGTGAGTGGCACAGACCCCAACCCTGCCAGCGCCCCGGCTCCCCACAGCCCCTCACTGTCCCCTCGTGCCGATGCAGAGCTGCTCTCTGAGGACACCAAAGCCGTTTGGTCCCCACGGCTCAGCCCCGACAGCTGCCGCATTGTCTACCTGGAGAACGATGTCCTGGGCCCCCACCAGCAGTGCAGCCGCCTCCGCATGGTGAGCAGCATGGGGGGGACACCAGGGGGACACCGGGGGAGGTAGGAGGGTGCCTCTGCCAAGGTGGGGGCTGGCAGGAGGGCAGTGGTGCCCCCTCTCTGTGCTGCAGTGGTGGCAGGCGGGATGAGACCCTGCAAAACTCACCCCATTCCGTGTCTCCCGCAGTACGACTGGTACACCAAACAGACCAGCACGGTGCTGGAGGCTGTGCCACGGCAGGAGTGGGGTGAGTACAGCCCTCGGGGTTTCGGGAGGGACACAGGGGGACACTGAGTGCCACCACTGTCATCATAGGTGCCTTCCCGGGAATCTACTGTGGGGCACTGCCAGGGATGTGCTGGGCGGCCAACAGCCGCCGGATCCTACTGGACACGGCCCAGCGCAGCCAGCAGGTGAGAGGGTGATGGGGGACACTTGGGGGGGCCAGGCCAGGTCAGGGCTCCACTGAACTCTGCCCTCGTGCCCCTAGGACATGTTCGTGGTGGACACGGCGACGGGCAGCACGACCTTGCTGACAGCTGGTGAGTGATGGGCCAACGGGGCCATGCTGGTGCCAGAGGTGGGGAGGGGGTCACACCTGCAGGTCTGACCTCCCTACTCCCCAGATGGCCCCCGGGGAAGCTGGTCTGTCCTGACCATCGACCGGGACCTCTTGGTGGCCAGATTCTCCACCCCTAGCTGCCCCTCCATGTTGGTAAAGTCACGTCCCCCTCTCCAGTGCCCACCAGGCCCTTGGTGCAGGCCCTGACCCTTCTTCCCAGTGCCCACCTCGACGTGAGCACTGACCCCTCTCCCTGCACAGAAAGTGACCGTCCTGCCCGCTGCTGGCCATGAGGCACAGGCACAGTGGATCTGCCTGCAGGACGCACCCCCCGTGCCCGGCATCAGCTGGGGCATCCGCACCCTGCAGCCCCCTCCAGAGCAGGAGCACCCCCAGTATGGTGAGTGCCTGGGGAGGCAAGGCTGGACTCCACCACCCCAACTGATCCCTGACACCCCCACCCTGCCTCTGTAGGGGGCCTGGACTTTGATGCCATCCTGCTGCGCCCGACTGAGGGCCCCACTGCCCAGAAGCCCCCCCTGGTCGTGATGCCTCATGGTAAGAACTTGTCCCCACCCTGCTGTACCCCAGCTGGGCAGCGTCACCCCCCTGCCTTTGCCATTTGCAGGGGGTCCCCACTCCGTATTCACGGCCGGGTGGGCGCTGTACCCGGCGGCGCTGTGCCGCGTGGGCTTCGCTGTGCTGCTGGGTGAGTGACACTGGGGCTGTGGGGCACTGCCCACGGGGGGGCTGGGGTGGGGGCACAGAGGAGGAAGGGCTCTGACGCTGCCTCCCACCCAGTGAATTACCGCGGCTCACTGGGCTTCGGCCAGGACAGTGTGGCCTCCCTGCCCGGCAACGTGGGCACGCAGGACGTGCGCGATGTGCAGGTACGGCCCGGCACGTGGTCCTGGGGCACACACGTGCTCCCACGGGTGCCCTGAGTAGAGAAAGCAGGGCTGCCCGCCTCAGTGGGTGTCCCCTGTGGTGGCAGCTCTGCGTGGAGAGGGTGCTGCAGGAGGAGGCGCTGGATGCCAGCCGGGTGGCACTGGTGGGTGGCTCGCACGGCGGCTTCCTGGCGTGCCACCTCATCGGGCAGTTCCCCGACACCTACTGTGCCTGTGTGGTCCGTAACCCCGTGGTGAACATTGCCTCCATGGTGGCCACCACAGACATCCCTGACTGGTGAGCACTGCTGCCCATGATCTCCCAGGCTCCCTGCCACACCAGCCCCACACGTGCCCCTGACTCTCACCCACAGGTGCCTGACAGAAACAGGGCTGCCCTACGCACCTGATGCCCTGCCAGACCCAGCCCAGTGGACAGAGATGCTGCACAAGTCACCCATTCGCTATGTCGACCGGGTATGTCCCCATCTCTGTCCTCATCCCTGTCCCAGTCCCTGCCAGCAGTGCCAGTGCTGAGGCCATGTCACTCCCGCAGGTCCGTGTGCCCGTGCTGCTGATGCTGGGGGAAGACGACCGCCGTGTGCCCCCCAAGCAGGGGCTGGAGTATTACCGTGCCCTCAAGGCCCGAGGGGTCCCCACACG